ATTTTTTAAATATATTATGAAGCTATAGTAATTAAAACAGAGTGTTAGGGCTGGGGATGGATCTTGGAGATGTAGCACTTGCCTACATGCACTGGGTTCATCACCAACACTTGAAAAACACACCTACATACAAAAGAAATAAAAAAGGAAGAAAGAAAAAAAATATCATTGTACAGTGGCATAATAGTAGACCTATAACTAGTGGAACAGAACGGGGTGTCTTGATAAACATCTTCATACAACGTCATGGAGATATCTTTCAAAGCACTGCCAAATATAGCCAACGTAGTATGAATAGTCTTGTCAACAGATATTCGTATGCAAAAGAAAAATGATGGACCCTTGTCCTACGGCACACACAAGGATCAAGTCGAGATGGATTGACGACATAGATGTGAGACCTGAATCTTTGAACCTGTCCCCCCCCGCCCCCGCAAAGAAAAAAATACAGTTGGAAATCTTCTTGACATTGGAATAGAAAATGATTTCTGGGATATCACACCAAAAGTACAGGCAACAAAGTCAGTAATATGATGACATGAAACTAAAGTCTTCTGTACAAAAAGGTGAACAATCAGCTGTCAACAGACAACATACAGGATGAAGACTTCATTTTCAGATCATTTATCAGGAAAGAGGTTGAATTTTAATGTTTGAGGCTGGAGATGGATCTCAGTTGGTAGAATGTTTGCCTTGCAAGCACAAGGCCTTGGGTTCAGTCCCCAACAAAACACACACAAAAAATTAACCTTTATTAAAACCTCAGAACTTAGTAAAAAAATAATAATCTGATTAAAAATAGCACCAGATATGAATAGATATCACACCCAAGGGAAAAAAAAACATATGTGGCCAATGAGCAAAGAAAAGATGCTCAACATCCATTAATTGTCAAGGAAATGCCACCACGAAGTGTCCTGTCACAGTAGTCAGGAGGGTGATGATGTGAAAAGAAAGGTCACCATGACTGTGGAAGGTGCCCTGTGCCTGGTTGGATGCCTGTCGCTGCCCTCGAGAAATTCTGATAAATATCACCATTGTACTTGTGTTTTGTAAGCAAAGTCCAATAAAGAACAAGATCTGAGCAGAAGGGATGGATGGACACATATCTGCTGCCATTCTTTGCCACGCAGATCAAACATATTGTCTTGGGTTCTCCTGGGCATTTATCATGCATTTGATTCTTTCTTTCAATCTGCAAGTCCAGGTTCGCATCATTTCTCATTTATCTGAATCCTGGAGAACTTCTGTTTTTATTTATCTGGATCCTGGACATATTCTATTTGTGTATGCCCTGTGGATGAATACATCCAGGTTTCCATATATGGAAAATGTAATTTTCAACTATTCTTGAAAAATGATTTGGTCTTCATGTATAACATTTGGAGGAAAAAGAGTTGTTTATTTGTTTTTATTTACACTTTTAAGATATGGAGGGGATGTGTGGGTAGAAAGATAGTCGAATGAAACCAAAATTATTGCTGTATGTATATATGTGATTGCAGGACTAATACGATTCTACAACATGTATACTCAGAAAAAAAATGAGAAAAAAATGTATCCCATCTATGTAGGATATATCAAAGTGCATAAATGCATCCTACTGTCACGTGTAACTAATTCAAACAAATTTTTTTTTATAAAAAAAAAGATATGGTCTCCTTGTCTTCTGGGTCCCAGGGTCTTGGGAAGCCATTTGCTTCCACTGTGCTCTAGGGCCCCTGATGTGCTAATTTTGGAGGGTGTGCTCTGCTTTTAAGACAACCTCCTGCTTTCAGGCAGTTTAAATGCAAAGTGCCATTGTCACTTGTGTGTCTTTTGACCATATCATAACTCAAATAGAAATACTATGGATATAAGTGACTCTTTACTCTGTGTAATTTTTCCAAGTTTCAAAGACATTAGAAGGAAGTTGGGTTCTATATCAAAACCTCAGTTTACACAGGGTATCCCTGCATTACTGCAAAACATCTGCCAGGATTTTCTCTCGAAGCATTTCTTGTCCAAAACTAATTTCACAAATTACAAGCGAATAGAGTCAATCCTGACCCTGTACTCAACCACTTAGGTGCGTGACGGTGAGGTTGCAAGGATATTTAAAGAGAAAGGGTAGTGGTTGTTTCTCATTTCTGGTGACGAAATATCCAGGAATACAAGTTCCTAAAACTTCGGAAAATAATATTTATGCTCATTAATCTTAGATTTGGTGATGTCAGGATTTTTTTGCTGGGGTTACAAGTATGCACCACTATGCCTGTCCCCCATTTCTTTACTTTAAAAAAACATTCTCTCTTCTCCCAGATCTTCTGGAGACTTATTTAAAAATATTGGTAATGTCAATATTCTGAAACAGAAACTATACTTAACAACTTTTAAAATACACAAGGAATTTTGTATAATTCTTAACCTAATCTCATCAAGAGGATTTCCATTCACTTTGATGATATTTTGATATAGGATTCTTACTAGTTTTTGGTTAATATTCTTTAATCAAGCTTGTAAAAAACTTAGTCCATTATGTCTTCTACCTCTTAATCCCCCCCCTTTTTTTTAGTTTTGGATCTGTAATTATGCAAAGGTTTGAATGTTTATGGCTTATGCACACTTCTTATTAATTAATTGATTACTTTTTGGGGGGAGTAGCCGGGATTGAACTCAGGAGCACTCAACCCCCAAGCCCCAACCCCAACCCTATTTTGTGTTTTATTTAGACACAGGGTCTAACTGATTTGCTTTGGGCCTCGCCTTGCTGAGGCTGGCTTTGAACTCAAGATCCTCCTGCTTCAGCCTCCTGAACTGCTGAGATATAAGTATGCCACTGTGTCTGGCTCATATTTATTTTATTTTATTTGTTCTTTTAAATTATACATGACAATAGCATCTATTTTGACATATTTATACAAACATGAAATAGGTCTTATTCTAGTTAGTTTCCAGCCCTGTATTTGTACATGATGTGGAAATTTACTGTGGTGTATTCATATATGTGCAGAGCAAAATCAGGTCAGGTTCATGTGACTGTCTTTCTTTTTTTCTGACCCTCCTCCCTAAATTGTAGAAGACCTCAGAAGAGGGCAAGACCTCCCACGTTCTTGGATAAGCAGAATTCATATTGTTAAAAATCACTATACTACTGAAAGCGCTCTACAGATCAAATGCAAGGATCTTTAATTAAAGTCCCCATGATGTTCTTCATATAGATGTCCCACTCAATCTTACTGCCACAGACTCTAAGTGGGGATGAGGGATTGACAGCACACCTTCTATGGGTTCAGCACCTAAGGGACCTTCTAAGGCAGCTGTCCCCTACCAACATCTGGCCAAATTCTCCCAACCCCACAAAGCAGAGATCACGAGCCCCATTTTACAAATGAAGAAACTGAGGCTTTTTCAAAAGACAAAACCCTGCAGGAGACAATCCTAAGAGGAACTCTCAGATCCCACAGATTTCCTTTGGGCCTGAGGTTTGTGGAAAAACCCAACAAGACTTATAGTATTTGCCCTATGACACTCTCAAAGGCATCTTGCAAAACAAAGGCTTTATAGAAGCAAGTGATTTATTGTGTATATGTACATTATATGCCAAAAATGTATACTTTAAATGTATACTTTAAGATGTATTGTTTTAAAGAGGTAAGCCAGGTGGGACCTTGGAAGCCTGTAATCCCAGCAGCTTGGGAAGCTGAGACAGGAGAATTACAAGTTCAAACCCAGTCTCACCAACTTAGGAAGACCCTGTCTCAAAATAAAATACAGAAAAAAATGGCTGGATATGTGGGTCAGTGGTAAAGCATTTGTGGGTACAATCCCCAATGTCCCCCATCCCCCAAAAAGAAATAAAGAAAAAAAAAGGTGTCATCCACTATTATGATTTTTGGATGCAATTTTATTTTATGATCTCTTCTCAGATAGCAAGCATATACACAGGCTCACAAGTTTGAATTGAAACTTTTTTTCCTAGAAATCAGAGCACAATACTTGATCTTTCTGTAGTATTAGTTCAGTAGAACACTAATGGGACTCATCGGATGGGATGCTTCTGACTGAATTCTATTTTAGGGCTTATGAAAATCAGAACCTCAAAAAGAGAAGAAAATGCCCCCAGCATTGGCAAAGATTCCAAGCCTCCCAGTAATGACAGTTGTAGGGAGAGGCCAAGGCGAATTCAGACCCTTATCTCACTTGGAGATCTCATTGTGTATTTTGCTTTCCAAGAAGATGGACCCAAAACACTCTGGACAGAGTGTAATAATCCTCCATTTCCTGGCGGGAAAATTTATTCCATGCATCAAATTCACTGAGTTACACTAAAACTAGTTGCTTCTCTTAAGAGGAATCCTGAAGGTTTTCCAGGAACCAAGCTGATGAGCAGAGCCCAAGGCTGTGGCTTCAGGGAGAGTTTACGCGCAGCTCTGGCGCCACCCCGTGTCCAACGTCTGCTCAGCGCCTGGACTCTCGGGCCAGACCAGGAACAGCAAGGAACACCCAGGGGACACCGGGACTCCTGGCCAGGGGTCTTCACCTGTGTCCTCACTGTCCAGGGCGGAGCCTGTGACACGGAGTGTTGACTGTTTATAGAGGACAAAACTGTCCACCTGTTCGTCTCCACGACGTCTCCGTCACCCTTGCCCCCTCCCCTCCTCACCCACCACGCCATACAGTCCTTTAGACACCCAGGGGCTGCGCTGGCCTCTGCCCAGCCTGAGAGGTGGCGTCGCCCGTGTCCTGCTCACAGCTGCAGCAAGTCCCCAAGGTCGCCCTGGCGGGGTCGAGCCCGCTCTCGTCCCCGCTTCTCCCCCTGCCCAGGGCCATGACGCCCTGCCCGGGTCAGTGCGGAAGACCCCGGGGCCGCCCCAGGACCAGCGGTGACAGCCGCGCCACTTGCCACCCTCTGGGCCTCCAGGTCACACCTTCTACACCGCAGGCACCAGGAGGGGTCTCTGCGACACGCCGGGACCATGGTCGCGCCCAGAAACCGAGACTCCTGGACCCCAACCCACCTGGACGTGCAGAGAGTCCACCGCGTCCGTGAGGAGGGACGAAGGAGGCTGCACAGCGGGTCCCCAGCCTCCCTCCACGGTCTTCTGATGGGGGAACTGCGGCAAGCAGAGAGGTCATATCTCAGGCCGCGGGAGCCCCAGGGCCCGCTCCTCGCTGGGTCCACAGCGACCTCTGACAGGATTTCCAGACACATGTGCCTCTAGGGTTCCTTCGCCTCATGCGTAAGAACTCGCCTCCCCCGCAAGAACTCGCCTCCCCCGGCAGCTCCCCTGGAGGTTCCTTATTCCCACGCTACACTCCCAAGGGGAGCCCCGGATGGTGGGCGCCTCCCACATGATTCTACTGGCCCCGCCCCCCGCTGTTCTTAGGGGTGGGGCTCCACTTAGCCCCGCTCGGCTCGGCTCCGCCCCCCAGCTCTTCCCATTCGCTGGGCTCCCCTCTCTCTGCTCTGCCTCACCTACTTCCCTAGGCCCCGCCCCCGCCCCGCCTGCTGGTCTTAGGGGTGGGGCTCCACTCACTCTGCTCGGTTCCGCCTCCAGCTGTGCCCAGTGGCTGTGCCCCGCCCCGCCCATTAATCCTGAGGTTTGGCCTCCCAGGACCCCTCTGCCCAGAACTTTGGCTCCGCCCAGCTCCTTTTGCTAAACCTGACAGGGGGACAATAATGCTTCTCAATGACTTCTCAATGACACTTCCACCCCAGAAGGAACTTGGAGAGGAGTCCCCTGCTCCAGGTCACCAGGAGGCTGGTGGGAGCCTGCCTGTCTTCTGCTGCCAGTTTGCATCCCCAAAGCAGGAGTGAAGCCTGCACCTGTGGTCCCCCAGGTGCTTCTTGGGTGCACAGGAGGTTTCACACAAGAGGCACCAGGGTCTAGACTCCTTATGGCATTACGGGACTCAGATATGATATTTGTTCTGTGATGGAAAATTTGGACAGAAGCTAGGATGCTGGCCCTAACCAATAACCTTGGTGGCGGGGGAGATTCACGAAGGAGGATCAGAAGTTCAAAGCCAGACCTCAGCATTGTAGGGAGGTAATGTTGCAGGTAAATGGATGGCACGGGAGAAGATAATGCTAAGTGTAGTTAGCCAATCCCAAAAATACATGCCGAATGTTTTCTCTGATAGAAGGTAATTGACTCATAGTGAGGTAGGGAGGGGGAGCATGGGAGGAATAGACGAACTCTAGATAGGGCACAGGGGTGGGAGGGGAAGGGAGGGTGCAGAGGATTAGCAAGGATGGTGGAATATGATGGACATCATTATCCAAAGTATATGTATAAAGACACGAATTTGTGTCTTTATATACAGAGTTATGGAAAATTGTGCTCTATATGTGTAATAAGAATTGTAATGTATTCCACTGTCATATATTTAAAAATAAAAATCAGGTAAACATATTTTTAGTTGTCTATGGACCTTTTAAAAATTTATTTATATTCAGTGCTGAGAATTGAACCCAGTGCCTCACACATGCTAGGGAAGTGCTCTACCACTGAGCCACAACCCCAGCCCCATAATTTTCTATTTTACTTTGACTGAGTAATATTCCATGGTGAATATACACCACATTTTCTTTATCAGTCATCTGTTGGAGGGCAGTTCGGTTGGTTCCATAGCTTAGATATTGTGAATTGGATGTGGCTGCCTTACTGTATTACAGTGGATTTTTTCTTAAAATATTTTTTAATTGTAGTTGGACACAATAACTTTATTTTTTATTTTTTATGTGGTGCTGAGGATTGAACACAGTGCCTCACATATGCTAGGTGAGTGCTCTATCACTGAGCCACAACCCCAGCTCCCTATACTATGTGAATTTTAAGTCCTTTGGGTATATACTGAGGAGTGGGATAACTGATTCAAATGATGGTTCCATTTCACATTTTCTGAAGAATCTCCATATAGCTCTCTGTAGGAGTTGAAAAAATTTTTAAAAACCCACCAGCAATGTATGAGTGAATTTTTCCCCCTGCATTCTTGCTAACATTGATAATTGCCATTCGGACTGGATTGAGCTGGAATCTCCGTGTAGTTTTAATTTGCATTTCTATAATTACTAGAGATGTTGATCATCTTTCCATGTTTGCTGACCATTGGTATTTCTTCACCTGTGAAGTGCCTGTTCAGTTACCTTTCCCATTTGTTTGGTGTTAAATACTTGAGTTCTTTGCATATCCTGGAGATGAATGTGTCTATTTGAGGGGTGGATGGCAAAGGCATTCTCCCATCCTGTTGGCTCTCTCTTTACATTATTTTTTTAAATATTTATTTTTTACTTGTACAAAACACCTTTATTTTGTTTATTTATTTTTATGTGGTGCTGAGGATCGAACCCAGGGCTTCACATGTGGTAGACGAGCACTCTACCACTGAGCCACAACCCCAGCCCAACATTCTTGATTTTTCCTTTGATTTGAAGAAGCTTTTTAGTTTGAAAGCATCCCATTTATTGATTCTTGATCTTCCTTTTGCTCTTTAGGGATCTTAGGCCTATATTTTTCTTCCAGTAGACACAGGGTTTCTGGTATAATACCTAGGTCCTTGGTCATTTTGAGCTGAGTTTTATGCAGAGTGAGGAGGCATAGAGGTTAAATTTTATTGTACTACATATGATGGGCAGTATTCCCAGCACCATATTTTTTTTGAAGAGTTGACCCTGGAGAATTCCTGAAGAATGAAAATAAATTGGCTTAAAAAAATTTTTTTGCTTCTTTTGCTTTCATAATAATGGATATTTTGTTATATTTATTAACCTGAAACAGAAGTGAAATCTTGGAGCTGAGCTTAAAAATCCCAGAGGACATATTACCCCAATCACATGGTCAATGTGAGAGTGGACCAAGAAGATGGTGTCACATTTTAGAGAGAGGATCCCCAGAGCCACTTGGAATCCATGGGAGGATCCAGGAACCACTCATCCCAGAGTAAAAGTGTTACAATATATGACGTGAGTTTGAACTCACTAGAATATGGAATTTTAAAAAGGAGAGAATGCTTGTGGGCTACATGATTGGGAGCCTTCAGATCCCTCACACAGATGTGTCCAGGGAATTAAGAGAAAAGTTTTGAGTTTGATTCTCCCCAGGTTGCTACTATCCACCAGAGACTAAAGTAAGAGCCAGGTGACATGTTCCACTGAGGGAAGCCACGGTTCTGTGATCTCCAGTGGGATCTTGTCACTTTCTTGCAGAAACTAAAATTAAAGCCCTACAGAGAGGTGAGTTAAGGATGTCTTTTCCTTAAAAGGGTGCAGGAACCTCTCAGGTCTCCTGACTCTCTATGCGACCTGTCCAGGTAAGTGCCTTTCTCTTCCTCAGATGCAGCACCAGTGTGTGAATGGGCTTCTGTGATTGTGATGAACAATCAAAATAACCAAGTTATACATTAGGTTCTAACATAGCTCTAAATTATGCATCCAGCTCTACCCACACTCAACAGCTCAGAGGACAAATTAGAATTCAGAGGAAATTTTTCTTCTTACTAGATTTTGCCAATTAATTTGGTGACTCATGAAAATTTGTTAATTTTTTAATAAGAAAAAAAAACATTTTAAGTAAATCATTTTAGGTTTCTATCCATTTCTCAGACTACAGGGAGTTTCATTTGCTGCTCTAATGGTTTTCAAAGTGCATACTACTATGTGTCCTGGTTATTTTCTGCCTCAGTGTGACGAATCCATATTCCTATTCACCCAGGAAGAGATAAATGTTAACCCCAGAATTTTATTAAACACACTTGGTTTTTCCTTCTCTTGTCTCAAAAATCAATCCAAAATACTTTAAGCATCTTCTTCTAATACTGAGATAGCGAGAAATAATAATATATACCTTGATCAGAAGGAAATGATATGGTTTATTTTTTGCAAATATGATAATTATAAATAAAGTTTATTCTCACGTTTTAGAGAAATAGCAAATAGCATTTCCTTATGCTGATGTATGTTGTCTCCGTTTTGATCTCACAAAAGTAAACCAATGGTGCTCTGGCTGCCCGAAGGTTTTGAACTGGAGCAGGGACTAGGGGTGCAGTTGCTTAATATCACAACCAAGGGACAGTAGTGACCACCCCTTCCTGGCTTCCAAAGGTCCAATGGTGTCCTCCCTCCAGGTCATCAAGGAGAAAGGGGATGATGGTGGAGAGGTGATGGTGAACTTGATCTGTGCGATGACAACAAATGACATATGCCCTTTCATGTATCAATTGCACATCAGGAAGTGAGGATGCAAATCATAATATTTACATGATGGTGCCCATGGTGCACCTGAGAAAGCAGCTATGTCCCCCTCCCTCCCTCCATCCCATGTCTCTGCACACCCAGGCCTTAGAAACCCAAGGTGCTGTGGGTCTGCTTTCTTCACCACCGACTGGGGTGTACAAACTTTGAGATTGTTCACTAGTCTCTGGTGATGGCATGTATCTCTGTGTTGTCCACGACTTAGATAGGGGCAGAATGTGAATTATTTAAGTAATGGCTCCTTGGTCAGGGTAGGAAAGGACTAGATTTTCATTCTTGTTTGTTCTCCACTTAGGTCTCTCCTCTAATCTGCCCTCTTAGACCTCCTAGTCCTTCCCCACTGAGCCCTACCTCACTGTGACCTGTCCCTGAACTTCTTTTCCACATTATTCTCTTTGGACTTATGTCATCGTATTCAGAACCTCCAGTCTGAGGAGACCTTGTTTCCACCAGGGATTAAGTCATGACCTGGGGCTCGGCCCATCAGCGCTGCCAGGAGCTGCTGCATCCCCTCTCTCCCCAGAGCTGAGAAGGGGTTCTGGGATCATCCTGGTGCTGGACAGGCTTCTGTCTGCACCCTGATCTTGTGGTCAGACTAGTCCTGGCAGGTGTGAGTGGAGTGAGGCACAGATGGGAGGGGACAGTCTCAGAGGATTCCTTTTAACTTGGTTTTATGAAATGTAACATGTTTCAGGATGTTTTCTAACAAAACTGACAAATCAGCAAAGAAGTAGCAACACTGCATTCTTTATAAAACATCTACCTGTGAACGATGGCGGGCCCTGTGGCTCTCACTGATACACACGTGTGTGACCTACACAGTGTGCACACGGCCAGCTGCTTCTCTGCCTGCTGTGTCCTGGTTCTGCAGGCAGATAATGCCTGTTGGGGACCCGTG